TCCTGCATAAGAAAAGGAGAAAGCCAATCGGCAGTGACATTCTGGGAGCTAGCAGTGTGCATCCGATTTCCACTAGATGATGACATTTCGGAGTTTGAAGCTTGAAGACGTTTCAGCAAAATCTGATGCTACCCCTCTCAGTGCAGGCTGCTACAAGGGGCATATACATCCTTCTACTCAATAGACTGCAGCATGTCACTGTGGGTGCTGTTCCATGAACTTTGAGTCAACTTCCCGTTGTAAGCACCTCATCAATGGGTGCCATTTGCATCTGTGTGTAGTCTGAGGTCTAGTGATAAGGTGCTATTAGGAGGAATGACATGGGCAACAAACAAGAGCTTGTCCAATAGGGATTCGAGTTGGTGTTGGATAATTTCTGGCTGCTGATTGTGCTGGCCAACACCAACATGGACATCCTGGCCTAGGGCCGCACACAGTCCAGGATGATACCGAGTTAAGTCAATGATCTCACAGAACCTTCCACCTTTGCTGGCGCTAGTGACACGAATAGATAGAGGAAGGACCGCAGCAGGATTACTAATTAAGGCTGTGCAACAGTTTGGCCAGTTTAAATGTTTAGAAAATCGTCCTAGGAGTTGCAAAGCGTGGCATTAGAGAAATGGTTACTGACAATCCACTCTATGGCTGAGGCAACTGAATCAAAGAGATTGGCAGAGTTCAAGCAAAGTCCAAATGCTAGAGCACGTTCGTACTATTAACTGCCTCGCCAGAATATGACAAATAGCAGGTGGTCTTCAGCACATGAATTGGGATATGCCAGAACACACTTTTGATCCCTAGCTTCACAAGATACACTAGCTGAGGTGGGGCCATACTAGTAGTTTATGATTTTCACACGTTAAGATGTACTGAGCAGAGTATGGGAAAGGAAGATTATAAACGCATGCAACAGGTATTTGCAGTTCACGTTGGGATCTCGTGATCCCCTCTACTGGGCTGGCTGTTGGTGATCTTTTGCCGGAATATTTGTTACGTGGATGATCCTTGTCACAGCGGTTGCAAATGTAGATGAGCTGGCAAATTGACCATATGCACTTGATGAGATTGAGGTTGAGGTAGATGACGGCGCCTGCATTGTTGCGGGTGAGCAGCGAAGATGATGCTGTTTGGGCTTGGTGTGCTATTTCGAGATGAAAGAAAGGACACGTGTTGTGTTCAGACACCAGGTGAACAAGGTTTTCATGACATACATTGAGGCCTAGCTTCGCCTGGGATACAGAGTGGCCAAGTATTTACGCCAATGGTAGCAAATTGCTTGCCTGGCTGGGAAGCGAGAAGCCTTCAAAAGCGCTGATTTTACAAAGCCTCTGTGAAATACTGCCTGGTGACCTGCAAAATCCATGCACTGGAATAACAGCCTTCCTGCAGTGTGATGGAAGTGCATTACTAATCACAACATTCATATGGAGATAACCTGCTGCCGACCAAGTTGTGATAGCATGCAGACGTCCACGAGCCGGGCGAATGGTGCCCACCACCGCTTCAACTGATATTGCATCACCGGACGAACTAAATTTGAGGAAAAAAGACTTATGGTTATCAACTGCCTCCAAGGTCTAAGGCAACAGTTGGTCAGAGAAGTTCCAGCAGGATATGAACCTGCTGTCATCATATTCCCAAGCACCTATCTTGATCACCCAGCCAGCAGGGAGTTGATTATGCAGCACTCACGCCGTTGTCGGCTAACACAGCTGGTGACGCTAGTACTGTCCATGGTTGCGGCAAGACAGAGGTTCCAACCTTGTCCGTGATGGTAGAATGAACTTCATCCCAAATTACTTCTCGAATCCCAGCTGGACCCAAAGTGGACGAGGGGCCGACTAGCAATTCGCACATGCCCATGGTGAGAGCGGCAGAGTCATCTGAATGCTGTGTACTCCATGTCATACAGCAATCTCTGAGCCAACATGCACAGGTGTCACTGAAGTCTAAATTTTGAAGCGTACATCTATTTCAGAAAATCAGATGCTAATAAAAGCAAGTCCACAGTAGACGACGGCATTGTTTCAGGCACCAACAGCCATCAATGAAGTCTGATTTTGAAGCGTGGAGATGAGAGAATGAAAATCTGATTCTAGCACAAGCTAAGAGTTGCCAATAATATGACTTTGCAGTGTAGCCAACATCAAAAAAGAAAGCGAAAGGAAGCAAGCAGTCATGCACATGCACGAACGACACCATGTTGGTTGGCGTTAGCATGGAAGATCCATGTGACATGTGATGTCAGGCTAGGCATGCGCAAAGCTCTGCATTGGCAATGCAAGTGGAATACCACATAGCACTTAACCCTTGCCATGCTGGGCCCCTTTTCTCCAATCGGCCGGCTGTCCAGCGCACTGACTCTCTTTGTGTAGTTTGCGCACACAGCTCTGAACGAAATTTATTCTCATTTCACTCCACCCTGATGGATTTTCATCATCCTGGGCTCGTTGGAAAGATCAGGACCAAGCGAATCCATCATGGTAGATCTCAGCGACATAGACACACCAGGGCCACTTCCACCTCCTCTCCAAACTACTCCTACGTGCCTCGGAACGGCACAGCTCAATTTCACGTTCTTGTTCATCATCTTGCCCAAATTCAACCGATTTTCACAATTCGAACTCCGCTGGAAAGCTGAGATCCAAGCAATTTATTTGATGTCCATCACTCATGCGTCATGCCAAAGGGAAATCCCCCAGCCTGCTCCAAATAACTGCGAAGTGATAAACCAAAAAAATCGCGTTTGCTCCGGGCCGTGATCTCGGTGTTCATCATGTCGCCGCTCAATGAGTCATTATCCTATAGCGACGAAATTTGTATCTTCGGAAAGATAACCTCAAGACCTTTCCTTTGGTGTATTGATTGTCTCTATGTGTCACGGATTTACCATAGTTTGTACACTGATATATGCACTGCGATATAACCCTTTGTGGACGGACTGTACGAGTTTTGATCTAATAATAATAATAATAATAAGAAGAAGAAGATCGAAACTTGAAACGCGAATTTTTCTGGGCGCACCGCACGTTTTCGGCGATATTTTTTTACACAAATCGAAAGATGAAATCCATATCTTTCCAATGGTGCTAAATTCGCCGGGGGTCCCTAGTCAAAATGTTGACGAAATCGGCCGCGCAAGAAAGAAATTGAGAGCTTCCGCGAGCATGCAGAACTAACATTGCAGTACGAGTACTGTCATGGCACGACGATACCGACGATGCCATCGGCATGATTCTGAACTGGAACTCTAACGTGGACAGTTCTGGCGACCTACTTGACGAGTCTGATGACGACGAGTTCGAAGTGGACAGTGATAGTGATGATGATATCCCAGAAATTCAAGAAAACAATTTATCTGATGGATTGGCTGATACTGCTAGTAGCGAGAGCGGTGGCGAGGATGATGTTGGACAGCCTATCCTATCTACTTTCCAAAAATGTATGGTGGTGTATTGGCTAATGCACACCTATTTCGAGTTGTTACTGAGTTTCGCATGTCGCTTCTTTCCTGTACAAATTTAGCAGTCCATAAAGGGATAATGTGCGATTTTTTGTGCATATATGCGCTCATGGTCAAGCACGTTATGTTTCAGAGCGCATATATGCGCTCCTGGCTCAAAAAGGGTTAAGTAGCGGTGCGTGACAAATGCAAACATGCCAGTATGCATTCTAACACAAAATAACTACCCTAATTGCCAGAGTATAAAGCACACCAGAGCATAATACACAGACCTAATTTTGCCAAACTTTAAAGCAACTCAAGGTATATCCAGAGTATATTACGCAGTCGTGATTTGAGAATATTTTTGATTACAAAGACAGTACTATAGTGTGATCAGAGCCAACATTTTCATAAAAATTACATCTGTAAATGCAAGTGTAACATATGGGGTTTCATGCACATCTTGCATTTGCAGTGTAGCTGGCGGAAGACACCAGAAATGTATGAATATGTTTTGTGTAGAGTCATTGACTCAGATGTGGTAAATTTGACTACAGTGAGATCCATAGTCATTAGACTACTTTGAAAGTGCACATATTCTCAAATTCCGGAGCGCAGTGTGCACAAGTGACTTGCGGCCTGAAATAGCGTATCTAAAGTTGAAAGTTGGAAGTTAGGTTGAGTTGGGTAACTCCGCTCTTCTTCCTCGCTCACCGGAGGAATTTCTCTAGTCTCCTCGCGCAACTGGGGAGCACTCCAATGGAGAGAGAAAGATTTTTATAGGGCGGCTTGGTGTGAGAGGTGAGCTGAGACTTGACGGCGCTAACGGCGAATATCAAGACCTTACGGCCACGGAGCTGCGGGACTCTGCGCTGGTCGTCTATCCGTGTGGAGGCAAAGCAAACGCGGGCAACATTCTGCTGAAGCGAGCGTGGAGCTGAAGCTGGATTGGTGACTGACGTACCTGCTTACTCCACAACACCGACGCATAATGATGTACAAGACTTCGTGAGTATTCAACTCAAATTCGTGTTCCGTCAGCGTCAGTATCAGCAAGTACAGTCATGTAGTACAATTTGTTCCCAAAATAACTTCGGGACAGTCTGTTCATGGTTTTCATTTGTATTGGACTCGTTCTCTACACTTGCGATAATTTAGCGGCAATTCTAACGTTGTAGCGTTGTTCTCTTGTAATTGAGTGGAACCTGTATTGAGTAACTGAGTTTTATGTTTCGTTACATTGTCGTCAGATCTCCTGTGTACCGGTTTTGTGGCGCAATGATTTAATATAGCCATTATATTTGGTCGTCTCCATTCTTGTGCAATCATGCATATGTAGGTTGGTTCTCTTCATGTTATTGTGACCAATTTCATAGATGTTGGTTGCCTTGTTGCTTTCTCTCCCCTCTCCTCTCACCCAAGCCATTCTGCATAAGCGAAGCTGTGGACGCAGCATACTGCTGCTACACTTCAACGCGGGAATGCGTATAATAATAATAAAGTTTGAACTACACTCTGGAAAACACGGTACAATACTAGTGTGACAAAAACTCACCCTGATCTGGCCTTCCATGGTAGCTGATACAGCAGTAACTGCAGACTGCACATCACCGATTTTTCCATCCAAGTCACTTCGCATGTCAGATTGAACTGCAAAGTTGTCAACAAAAACACACAGACAAATAACAAGTAAAAAGTTTCCTCTGAGACAAAAAATGCGATAGTACTCATAAAAAGGACACACTTCAGGCTCTTTACGAACACCTTGAAAGTTTTTGGTTTCACAAGTATACTTTTAAGCCTTCTCATCAGGTGAAATACAGGCAAGGGAAAAGGAACAGGAACAATGGATTAAGTAGTAGTAGTAGTAGTAGTAGTAGTAGTAGTAGTAGTAGTAGTAGTATTTATTATTTTACTAGGGCAATCCCCACAGACTGTGAGTCTTTTTACAGGGTACCCTAGGTAAGTGCGTGAAATAGAGCTGAATGAAGAAAGCCGTAAATGCGTGAAATAGAGTAAAGAAAAAAGAAAACGGTGGCTGCATACTGTGCCATTATGTGTTGCAAAAGAGGCTGCGAAGAGTACTGTTGAACATTGCAAAGGAGGCTGCCTGGCGGCATGCTGCTGGAAGCGAATTCCACCTGTCAGCAGCCAGGTAAGGCAAAGCATAGAAACCGTACCGTGACGAAGCATTAGGCAGTGCTAAAGCCAGGGCGGACTGTCCCCTGGTCAAGGCATTGGTATGGTTGCTATTTGATCTAAGTACAAAAAGCTCAGCAAGTAGAGGGCTGCGGCGGAGTACAGTAAGGAGGTGGAAAAACAGCGCAAAGAAGAAGATAGCTAATGTTTGGAGTATTATTACAAAAAGAATGAAGTTGAAGACACCACTGCAGCTGTACTTATTGTTGATAAATATGGTGGTAAAGACACACCCGGCAATATGGCGGTAAACACACGCCTGCCCACACACGCTCTCTAGGCTGCAAAGTTCTAGCACAGAGCTCTCCTTCTCACCACCACCACCACCATCAGTTCGCGCCTGGCGCCTGGTCGATGCATGGTTGGCGATATCCGGCATAGCAGGCTGGTACATCAAGTAGCGCATGGCAAATAGAAGATGACACAGCAACGACATAGCTCGATTGCGACGTACGTTTCGTTCCCGCTGGACTTATCAGGCAATCTTCTTCTTTGATGTCTTCATACGGAGCTTGACCCGTGTGGCGTGTGTTTACCGCCATATTGCCGGGTGTGTCTTTACCACCATATTTATCAACCATAAGTTCAGCTGCAGTTGTGTCTTCAACTTCATTCTCCCGAGTCAAGCTCCGTATGAAGACATCCAAGAAGAAGATTGCCTGATGAGTCCAGCGGGGACGAAACGTACGTCGCAATCGAGCTATGTCGTTGCTGTGTCATCTTCTATTTGCCATGCGCTACTTGATGTACCAGCCTGCTATGCCGGATACCTCCAACCATGCATCGACCAGGCGCCAGGCGCGAACTGATGGTGCTGGTGGTGGTGAGAAGGAGAGCTCTGTGCTAGAACTTTGCAGCCTAGAGAGTGTGTGTGGGCAGGCGTGTGTTTACCGCCATATTGCCGGGTGTGTCTTTACCACAATATTTATCAACTATTATTACAAATACCAAACAAGGCCTTTCTTATATCCATACTATCCCTACACACACAATATAGCTATTCTTATATCCATACTATCCCTACACACACAATATAGCTATTCTTATATCCATACTATCCCTACACACACAATATTGCTATTCTTATTTCCATACTGTCCCTACGCACACAATATAGCTATTCTTATATCCATACTATCTCTACACACACAATATAGCTATTCTTATATCCATACTATCTCTACACACACAATATAGATATTGCGTAACAGCAAGGTACACTTGTGCTTAATGAAATCTAACCCAAGTGCAACACCATCTCCCTGCACCAGTTCTGGTACTTGTGCATGTGCAAGCCGAGGTGCATTCCTTCCCTTTCTAAGACGTCAAAGGTATGCAAGTTGAGGGCAGCAACCATCAACTTTGTTCTGATTTCACCGATTCTTACAGAACAGCTGTTAACTACACATGCATACATGCACGCAACCATACATACACAAAAACACCATACATACTGGTACACATCCCCCCCCCCCCCCCCCCCCCCCTAAAGGGACAAGAAAAGTTGGTTACTGTTCTTTCACCAGGCTGTCGCAAATCACAGTGATAATTGAATATGACAGCATACATGCCTGACAAGGTAGTCAGTCGGGGATAGACTGGTCACTAGTCACACTGGTCAGTAGGGATAGACTGGTCACTAGTCACACTGGTCAATAGGGTTAGACTGGTCACTAGCCACACTGGTCAGTAGGGGTAGACTGGTCACTAGTCACACTGGTCAGTAGGGGTAGACTGGTCACTAGTCACACTGGTCAGTAGGGGTAGACTGGTCACTAGTCACACTGGTCAGTAGGGATAGACTGGTCACTAGTCACACTGGTCAGTAGGGATAGACTGGTCACTAGTCACACTGGTCAGTAGGGGTAGACTGGTCACTAGTCACACTGGTCAGTAGGGGTAGACTGGTCACTAGTCACACTGGTCAGTAGGGATAGACTGGTCAATAGTCACACTGATCAGTAGGGATAGACTGGTCACTAATCACACTGGTCAGTAGGGATAGACTGGTCACTAGTCACACTGGTCAGTAGGGGTAGACTGGTCACTAGTCACACTGGTCAGTAGGGATAGACTGGTCACTAGTCACACTGGTCAGTAGGGGTAGACTGGTCACTAGTCACACTGGTCAGTAGGGGTAGACTGGTCACTAGTCACACTGGTCAGTAGGGATAGACTGGTCACTAGTCACACTGGTCAATAGGGTTAGACTGGTCACTAGCCACACTGGTCAGTAGGGGTAGACTGGTCACTAGTCACACTGGTCAGTAGGGGTAGACTGGTCACTAGTCACACTGGTCAGTAGGGGTAGACTGGTCACTAGTCACACTGGTCAGTAGGGGTAGACTGGTCACTAGTCACACTGGTCAGTAGGAATAGACTGGTCACTAGTCACACTGGTCAGTAGGGGTAGACTGGTCACTAGCCACACTGGTTAGTAGGGATAGACTGGTCACTAGTCATACTGGTCAGTAGGGGTAGACTGGTCACTAGTCACACTGGTTAGTAGGGATAGACTGGTCACTAGTCACACTGGTCAGTAGGGGTAGACTGGTCACTAGTCACACTGGTCAGTAGGGATAGACTGGTCACTAGTCACACTGGTCAGTAGGGGTAGACTGGTCACTAGTCACACTGGTTAGTAGGGATAGACTGGTCACTAGTCACACTGGTCAGTAGGGGTAGACTGGTCACTAGTCACACTGGTCAGTAGGGATAGACTTGTCACTAGTCACACTGGTCAGTAGGGATAGACTGGTCAATAGTAACACTGGTCAGTAGGGGTAGACTGGTCACTAGTCACACTGGTCAGTAGGGATAGACTGGTCACTAATCACACTGGTCAGTAGGGGTAGACTGGTCACTAGTCACACTGGGCAGTAGGGGTAGACTGGTCACTAGTCACACTGGTCAGTAGGGGTAGACTGGTCACTAGTCACACTGGTCAGTAGGGGTAGACTGGTCACTAGTCACACTGGTCAGTAGGGATAGACTGGTCAATAGTCACACTGGTCAGTAGGGGTAGACTGGTCACTAGTCATACTGGTCAGTAGGGGTAGACTGGTCACTAGTCACACTGGTCAGTAGGGGTAGACTGGTCACTAGTCACACTGGTCAGTAGGGATAGACTGGTCACTAGTCACACTGGTCAGTAGGGGTAGACTGGTCACTAGTCACACTGGTCAGTAGGGATAGACTGGTCACTAGTCACACTGGTCAGTAAGGGTAGACTGGTCACTAGTCACACTGGTCAGTAGGGGTAGACTGGTCACTAGTCACACTGGTCAGTAGGGGTAGACTGGTCACTAGTCACACTTGTCAGTAGGGGTAGACTGGTCACTAGTCACACTGGTCAGTAGGGGTAGACTGGTCACTAGCCACACTGGTTAGTAGGGATAGACTGGTCACTAGTCACACTGGTCAGTAGGGGTAGACTGGTCACTAGTCACACTGGTCAGTAGGGGTAGACTGGTCACTAGTCACACTGGTCAGTAGGGGTAGACTGGTCACTAGTCACACTGGTCAGTAGGGGTAGACTGGTCACTAGTCACACTGGTCAGTAGGGATAGACTGGTCACTAGTCACACTGGTCAGTAGGGGTAGACTGGTCACTAGTCACACTGGTCAGTAGGGATAGACTTGTCACTAGTCACACTGGTCAGTAGGGATAGACTGGTCAATAGTCACACTGGTCAGTAGGGGTAGACTGGTCACTAGTCACACTGGTCAGTAGGGATAGACTGGTCACTAATCACACTGGTCAGTAGGGATAGACTGGTCACTAGTCACACTGGTCAGTAGGGATAGACTGGTCACTAGTCACACCGGTCAGTAGGGGTAGACTGGTCACTAGTCACACTAGTTAGTAGGGATAGACTGGTCACTAGTCACACTGGTCAGTAGGGGTAGACTGGTCACTAGTCACACTGGTCAGTAGGGATAGACTGGTCACTAGTCACACTGGTCAATAGGGTTAGACTGGTCACTAGCCACACTGGTCAGTAGGGGTAGACTGGTCACTAGTCACACTGGTCAGTAGGGGTAGACTGGTCACTAGTCACACTGGTCAGTAGGGGTAGACTGGTCACTAGTCACACTGGTCAGTAGGGATAGACTGGTCACTAGTCACACTGGTCAGTAGGGATAGACTGGTCACTAGTCACACTGGTCAGTAGGGGTAGACTGGTCACTAGTCACACTGGTCAGTAGGGGTAGACTGGTCACTAGTCACACTGGTCAGTAGGGATAGACTGGTCAATAGTCACACTGATCAGTAGGGATAGACTGGTCACTAATCACACTGGTCAGTAGGAATAGACTGGTCACTAGTCACACTGGTCAGTAGGGATAGACTGGTCACTAGTCACACTGGTCAGTAGGGGTAGACTGGTCACTAGTCACACTGGTCAGTAGGGGTAGACTGGTCACTAGTCACACTGGTCAGTAGGGGT